TTGGGTCAGTAATCCCACTATGATCTTCCTATTGACGTAAATATACACCCACGAATAAAATTATCGCATATTTTGTATTTATGAAATTTATTATTTAAGGTATACACAGCAAAATTATCCCTTAGACTTGTTTTAAGAACGTTCTTAGAGTAAATTTATAGAACGACATAGATCAATATAGAATTGTTCCGAAAATGTTTATGCAACTATATTTATAGGATTTTAGCTCATAGAATATTTTGAAGAATCTAAAAACGGAGGTAATCCAAAATTAGACTGTGCAAAAAATGGAACTATTTTGGAGACATTGGTACGATTGCAGAGAGCGTAACGTTTGTACAATATGACCGCAAAATCCAAAAGTCCCTTTACAAGTTATGTAGATGTATTATTTTAAACATTTTAAAAACCATTGGGACTTACGGCCAAAAAAACTAAAAATCCGATTTTCTCGGTTTTATCTTAGGTAAAAATTTCCAAAAAATATACTTTTTATGTTTAGACTAAGAAATTAGCTAATACTTTTAAAACAAATAATTTACTCTTTATAAAAGTTTCTAAAATGTGTATGGATCATAACAAAAGAGCAACCACATTTTTATGTCTTATAATAATCAACTTATGGTAATTTATTAAAACGGCAGCCACGGGTGATCTTCCGTCAGGCAATCGATGGTTGCTTTTCCGTTGCTTCGCTTTATCTGTCTCTGTTAAAATGTTGTTCTAAGTGTATTTCTGACTTTGACGTACAATCCTTGTGTAAAATAAAGGTGTTTAATTTTCTATAGTTTTATTTGAGGGATAAACCACTAAGTTTAAAACGTACCCGTATTTCGGAACCTAAAATTCATATGATTTTGGAGAAATCGTTTTGAATTCATATGATTTCGTTGATTTCGACGAAATAACTCTTAACACGTTGACTGCCGAAGTAAATTTCGTGGTCGGGTCCGCTGAGCAGAAGAGTTTTTCTAAAAAATTAAATTTGTTTTTACATTTTAAGACTAAAGTAGTATAAGAGTTAATACTTATGTAAACTACAATATCCAATAGACGCGTGAATAAAATATATGCACGCGGCGCAGTTCTTATACTGCCCAATTATTTTTTAATCTCTCCTAATATTGTGAAATCTCCCTTAGTCTTTACTTGATTTTTGGTAGACTTTTTTTAATTCCTCTTCACTCCACTTAATTTTATTTAATATTTAATCGCTATTTTAATACTAATAATGAATTTATTTAAGATCTCTATTTCAAAGATTATATATTATACAGGGTGTCCCAAATTATATAAAACAAAGAGAGGTTATAGATCTCATAATTTTAAACAAACAGGTTCATATTACCAAAGGTCCGATCTCGATAAGTAGCAAAGTTATAGGTGGTTCAAAATTGATAGAAATAATACATTTTCAGTGATACGCCACTGGTGAAATTTGATTTTTTTTTTTGCTTTTTTAATTAGTTTTCTATCTTTTACATCTCTTAAATTTTGATCAATGTTTACGTAAATTAAAATTAAAGAAACACTTTAACCACCTGTAACCCCACTACTGATCGAGATTGGACCCTTGTTAACATGAACTTTATTGCATAAAATTTCAAATAAATTAAGACTGGGTTGTAGTAATAATATGGGCTGTGCTAGTGTCGTGGTGCGATAGTGACATATATTTGCAATCAATAGGTGCAAATAAGATGGGATATACAAAGCGATGCGAAAGGAGACTCCGATAGCCGACGATAAATCAACGAGCGCAAACCGTTTTAATTCAATTTTTTTATATTAATTGCTATAAGTTGATTATGATCTATACACATTTAAGAAACTTTTATAAAGAATAACTTTTCTTGTTTTAAATGCTTGTTCAGCTAATTTCGTAGTGTAAACATAAAAAGTACAACATTTTTATATTCAATTCAATTTATTGCAAACAGTATAAAAATGTTTTATTACTTATTTCTAAAACATAATAAATATAAAATGTCCTACAGGGCTGATACCACGCTAGGCTAAGTGGCCTGTCTTGTGGCTTTTAGACCTGTGAAGCATTTTAACGAGTTTTAAATAATGTAATTGGTATTAGCATTTTGACGAGTTTTAAATAATGTAATTGGTATTTAAGGCAATTTAACAAATGTTTCAAGATTCAAGAGTGATTGATCAGATGACCATTAGGCAAAGTTCTGGTAATTGTACATGTAATTACTATTTAAAACAAAAAACAATGTAAAATCAGTTGAAAGGAAATTTATGTGGGTAATTTTTGATATAATTAAATACTTCTTTTTCAAAACTCTTAAAAATGGTTATTTCTTTTTTTTTTATTTTTTTGAAAGAACATTAAAGATTTTTGGACTGAAGATTAAAAATGAGTTTTGAGTTGATGTTTTAATTTAATTTTGACCGTGTATCTCTAGTTTGTTGTATTTGTGTATAAGATTTTTGTTCATGAAATATTCTTATTAAACATTGATTAATATATATTAATCGGATATTTAGCATACTAGTTTCTTGGTATAGATTTTGTGTGGATAATAATCTATTATCTTTCCTAAATATTATTTTTAGGATTAAATTTTGTAAATTATTTAATGATGTTATGTAAGCTGCGCCTCATGCTGGGATACAGTCATGGGCGTCGTTTGGGGGGGGGGGCAGTTGTCCCCTGGCTTTTACGACTTTACAACGCGTAATAGCTGTATGTCAAAATACTAAATTAAGTACTAAAATTTAACCCTAAATTAAGTTATTAATTTAGTACTAAAAATATTTTTTTCCTTTTGCAACGATACCAATTTTTAGTACTAAATTAAGTATAGGCGCACGCGCATTGACGTACTATTACGGGAAATTAGCACAGAAATTAAATATTTTGTGTAAATGAGACAAGTAAATTAAAAGATGTATTTATTATGACTTTGACACTAGTTGACTTGACAACAACTAAATGCAACAATGCTACTAAAAACCACGAAAAAACACAATAAAACCTATAAAATCAAACACAAGCGAAATTTGTCCAAGGCGATAAGCAATAACAATTGCTGTTGTAAATTGTAAAAATACTAGCAGAAAAAACAGTGTATATTATATAAATTTTCAGTAGCAAAATGGAAATTAAATCAAAGAAATAAGAAGAAAAAACCTTTATTTTTATAATAATAACAGTAATACTGGAAATAGTAGACATCAGAAAAATGAAAGGTTTTAAATAAACAAATTATTATTTTACAATGTTGTTCAATATCCCTTAATTCTTAAATGTTGAGCAAGGATTAGATTTCTGCCTTTGATTATTGTATGTAGCTGAAATGCAATCTTGTGACTTATTGATAGGAAACCAATTTTAATTATTAATTTCTATGGGTTCTTTGGAACTAAAAATAAAGAAAATATAAATTACAATCGCAAATTTACCAATTATTTTTATTAATACGTTTTGAAACTACGTTATTATATAATTGTAATGCTTTTATTTTCACATTATTTAACCTTTTTTTCAATAACAGCTTATTAGGCTTAGGCAACATATCATACGTTTTCTCGTAAATATTATTCCCTGCCTATGTTTTATTATTGATTATACTACTTTTTTTTTAGCTGAAGTACCTAATAAAAATATATAATAATTAATTTTTTCACTTGTTTTACAAATCTATATACTTTTATTAAAATCAACATATATATTTTTTAATTCCATTAAAAATTGTATTGTCAGTATATGCAAATATCGTCCGTTAGTTCATAAATTTGTTGTCGCTGCTGTCACGCACAGAGCGAATAATGAATGAAAATAGGCTGACTGCGCTTTGCATGATGAACGTACATCGAAAAATAATCGCAAAAAACTAAAAAGAAATCATGTTTTCTGTTATCGATTATTTTAGGTAGAGAAAGAAGAAATTAAAAATTTGCGTTTTCCTAGTGTTCGTCGACGTGTTTGAGTGAGTTTTCTTGTTTTTGTGTTTCTATAAATATTTTATTTTTTTTTATATTATGTATGGCTCTGTCTTCTTGTTCATATTTTTCTTTTATATCACACCTTCTGTTTAGTTTTTTAAAAATATGTGTTTTAAGTTTCTTGTTTTTTTTTATTTTAGTTTTTGTTGGGTTATTTTATTTATTAAAAACTTTTATTAATTTGTATTGCTCTTTTATTTTTCATTTTCTCTGTTTTTCAACAAATAAACATACTAAATTTTTTCAAAATTTTGCCCCTCCCTATAGAATTGTGTAACGACGCCCATGGATACAATATCTTATAATAGATTCCACTAGTGAGGTGTATAACATTATTAAATTTTTTTGAGATAAAATGTCGCACAATTCATAGAATTTATGCATTAAAAGTCGTAATCGTCTATTAACATAACCAATATGATCCTTCCACTTTAAATGTTGGTCAAGTAGTACCCCAAGATATTTTATAGAGTCTGTTTGCTCTATGTATTGACAATTGCAATAATCTTTACTGATATACAATGGAATGTGTAATTTAATATTTATATTAAGAGGTTGATCTCGAACAGTGGGAGAGAAGGTCATATACCTAGTTTTGCTAATATTTAACGATAACATGTTATTATTTAGCCAAGTATGCATTTTTTTCAGATCCGACTCGGTGTATTATACTTTATCGCTCTATGCAATGGTACCAATATCTCGTTTTTTTTTGCAAACAGTGCTCTTCTGCACAGTCTAATTTTGGATTACAACCGGTTTAAAATCTCCAAAATTTTAGTTTTCAATAAATTAACAATTTAGATTGTGAAACTCAGGCCCCCACAAAAAGCATAATTTCGATTGATCTAACACTACACTAATATAACAAACCTTTATTTAACAAAAAGCAGTTAAAGTTCGCTCATGTATTAAATTGGCCAAACAAAATTAAGCCTGAAGAACAAAGACCATGGGGTGTTAATAGTATTACTAAAGCCCCTATATCCCTCAATAATTTAAAGTTATAGAATTAATACTAGTTTCTTTTTTAGGTAAACCAAAATGCAGAAACATATTTCCGCTACCACTCTCGCCCTACTTAAATGTGATCTATGCCACGGATATCTATCGGTACCACCGATTTCTTCCTACAAGGAGAAAAACGCCTGCGGCCGATGCAACCCGGAATGGGAGAGGAATACCATATACGAACAACTAGCAAAATACATGGAATTCCCATGCATGTTCTGCGACGAAAGGTATCCTTGGGGTATGGTACAAAACCACGAAAAAAAGTGTAAAGCAAATCGCTTTCTATGTCCGCCGAAAAAAGAAAATTTGTATAAAATCAACGTTTTTAAAAGTCAACAAGGAGAATTCCACAAGGACTGTCAAAGGATCATAAGATGCCCATTCGAACTGTGCTTGATGACTTTCGATATTCGAGATATCGTGCATCATTTCAACAAGCATCACAAAGAATACGTTTTCACCAATACCGTAGAGGCTAATAAGATATTTAAAGAGGAGAAAGTTTGGAACTTCAATTCGGATACTCAAGTTTGCGTTATAATATTTAATACAATTCCGTTCTTACTCTTTATTCATAACGACTGCAATTTTAACGATTCTACGGGTGATATACTTTACTATAACTACTATTTCAGCGTGTTCACATTCTGTTTGGAAGGTTGCAGTAATATCAATTACTCCGTATCGTTACAATCTTCATCGAGCGACATAATTCCGTGTACCACTAAAAAGAAAAACCAAACAATCCAGACATTCAACGACAAAATTCACAGCGTCAATTTTTTGCGCGGTGACTTGTTTAAATTGAACAGTTTCGATTTCATGACGACCAAAATATCTCAAATTGAAAGGATTGAAAATTTAGTTTTAAGGTACGATATCAAAATGGTCGATAACAATTTGCTGATAATTCCAGAGAAAAATAAAGAATCGATCGTTTTCGATTTAATAGGCATCGAAAAACATTTCGAATGTCCGATTTGTAAGGAGTATATGAGTCCGCCTATTTACAATTGCAATATCGGGCATTCCATTTGCAGAATTTGTAGAGAAAAATTGTCTATATGTCCTTATTGTCAGGCTATAATCGGATATTCTAGGAACTTTATTTTGGAAGATATTCTAGAAACGTTGTTTCTTAAGTGTCATAATGAATGTAAAGGTTGTAATTTTACGGGTAGAGTACAGGATATAAAACTACACGAACTCGCTTGTAATTATAATTAAATGTAATTTACGAAATGCTAAATTATTTGAAACATATTTATACGCTTTAAAACAAAATAAACTTTTATACAAACAAATCAGATTTTTAATTTTAAGCTAAATGAACATTTTGTTAAAAATACATACATTTTTACCAGAAAAAAATTAAATAAATACAACCCTGTGTAGCAAACTAGAAGACGCTAATTACAAAATAATATAGGTCAAACGGTTGCCTAATTATTTAATTACAAAGTTATTGGATTTTTTAGTAAAAAAATAACCCAAATTGGAGCCAAAATCCCATCCTCCAATTACTAATTTCACTATGCACGAACGGTATACATAAAGGACGTTTAAAAAAAAAATAATAAATAAATAAATTAAATTTTCATACCGTCGCATCTCGATTAGTTTTAACCGACAAATCGCGATTCAAATTAATTTTCGCGCGCCTGTCATTTGTCACCTATAAGAAGGACAGACGAGGGGAGGGGGGTAGCCACGACAAATTCCCGGGGCCCGAGCTCAAGTGGGGGCCTGGCAGCGGCATAAGGGGACCCGGCAGCTTTAGGCGAGGACTTTTTTTGTTTAGAAGTAGAAGTTCGCCACAAGAACGATGACTTTTTTTTTAGAAATTTGATACTGAAAGGGCTTATTTTTTTATAAAATAGTCGCTGGGGCCCGACCAGGAAAATTGTCCCTGGGCCCGACCTGGCTCTCGACGTCCCTATAAGTAGGATGTTTGTTTATTTACAATGCGTTTGTTTTGGGCGGGATTTTGTATTGGTGATTGTTTTAACTGTTTTTAGATAATATTCTCATTATAATGTTTTCGAGTTTCATTTAGTGGTATTTAAGTTTAGTTTCCTTCATAAATATAATATTTATCATGTGTTTAGGACTTGATTTAGTGAAAATCTCCACCTGTTGGTTGCTACACAAACATCTAGAAATATTTCTTTACTAAACCCAGGACATGTTTTATTATGTAGTTTAAAGGACATTTCAGGTACCTAACATTTATTATTGATTAACTTAATTAAAAATCTTACTATCCTTATTCTTATATTATGTAGTGAAAGGTGTGTAGTACTTTGAATACGTCATGTAAACGGTAATAAAACTCATAATGCAGATATTGCAGTTTGATTCTAGACAAAATTTTGCAAAATCTTCATAATGTGAATTTGTAGGTATCCATTTATCGTAAGAAACAAAATTTTACGACTTTACGCTTGGAAAATAATGAATACTTCAGTTTTGATTTTGACATTAACACCATAAAGATTGCAATTTATTGTGGCCTTTTTCGCAAATTTAATTTTTTAATAAAATCAATATTACACACTATAAGAAATAAACAAATTTAAAGTTTACAATTAAGCAAAACTTATAATTGATACAAATTAAAAGATAAACAGTGAACAGAAACTGATTTTAAAACAAAATTGATAAATGAGCTGAAATTTAAAAAAATTCAATATAATAAATCGGTTTTATAAAAATTTCCCTAAATAAATATAGAATATGATAACATATTACTAGACACAAATTTTGCTACTTAAAAAAACCACTTTTTCAAGGGCTAAAAATCCGACGACGTAGCGAAATTTCGCTACTCCTGGCAACACTGAACAATATTTTGTAATACACCATTTTGTAGGTCTAATCGAGTAGATTCCGAATTACCAGTTTGTTGAGCTAACTTAAATAATAGCGTAGATATGGGCGTTTAAAGAAAATCTTAAAAAATTATTTCTGACGAAAAAGGTCAAAAATTAGGTAGTGTTTTTTATGCCATCTTACAGATTTTGAGCATTCCAAAAATGTGTTTAATTTTTGTCTATCTTTTACGGGCAGTACCTCAAAATCGTTGTCAAACCTCTGTACATTATAATATCTGACTTACCGATTGTCCAAATTTTGAGATATCGCAATATTTATATAAATGGTTGAGCAGAATAACGAGCAATTTTAAGAAGTGTAAAAAAGAAGAAAATCAAGTTTTACAAATAAATTTATTATTTTGTTAAAGAACATAAAAAAGCGTTAATGATTTTATTTTTTTGAAAATAACTCCGGGAAGATAACGTACGCTCAAGCGTACATATTCTTCCAATCGTGTTTTAAAATTATTCATTAAATAAGTTCCGCAGCATTGCCAGGGGAATTTGGTCCACTTCCTGTCAGATCCGTACTTTCAAGGCTTGAATTGTTTGTGGTGGGTTATCTTAAAACACTGTACTCTTCAAGTAACCCCACAAGAAAAAACTTACGTTGTGAGGTCTCGTAACGGCAAGAAAGGTGATTTCTCCATTTCGAGAAATCACATGAATTGGAGATAACCCCTTTTGATAAAACGCCTTCAAAACGTACGTGCGCTGCTGAGGAGTCCACCCACTCCAGTATTTCTAAATACTAATAAATACACATGAAACATGGCTGAGAGCGTCCCTACAACCTCCTAACGATACCGCGCGGTTGTAGTTTTTTAAGAACGCTCGTTATTCTGCCTCACCCTATACATAATTTTGTAAAGCTCTTAGAGACAAATTGGCAAACCGCATCTTCCTAGCTCAAACGGTTGCCGAGATATATAACAAAATCATTTTGTACTATTCTTTTTTATTACTGCATTATGTATTATTTTTTTATACAACTGTACAATTTAATATTATTAATTAATAATGTTTATCTCTTTGCATTTTTAAATATAACAGGGCAGGTGAACAAATGTTGGAACAGAAATTTTGTTTTCGTTATACATTTTTTTACGTTTTCCGGACCCTTATCATGTCGGTGACAGAAATTTAAATTGGTTTTACGAAAAATTTAAAAATAAGGCGTATTAACCAAAAAAACATATTCGCTCCGTGCGAAGTCATGGAAAGGGAAGCAAAAGCGATACTAGCGCTAGCTGCGGATAATTCGTGCATTTTAGGGGGATATTTTGTAATTTTGGCATATCAAATACACGTATACATTTTACTTTTTTCAAAAAAGTAGGTAAAAACAACACAATAAGCAACCGGAGTTGCTGTGTTGAAAATTGTACAAATACTAGCAAAAAAAAACAGTGAAACTTATATAACAAATTTCACTAACAAAGTGGAAATTAAATCAAAGAAATAAATGGATAGGTGTACAATAAGAAGAAAAATTACCTTTATTTTTGTGATAATAACAGTAATGCTGGAAATAGTAGACATCAGAAACTAGAAAGTTTTTAAATAAACAATAAATTATCATTTTACGATGTTCTTTAATATCCCTTTATTCTTAAATATTCATTCAGCAAGGACTAGATTTCAAGATTTCTGCCGTTGATTATAATATTTGGCTGGTATGCAATTTTGTGACTTACTGATCGAAAACCAGTTTTAATCATTCATTCTATGTTTTCTTTAGAACAAAAATGAAAATATAAGTAGCTATCCTTTTTATACACGCTATTATAAATGGTTTCTTCAATGACAACTTATTAGACTTAGGCAACTTCTCATACATTTTCCAGTAAATACTGTTGCCTGCCTATATTTTATTATTGATTTTTAATGATTATACATAATTTTCTTCAATTTAAGCGTGAAAAATATATAATAATAATAAATTAATGTTTTAATTGTTTTATAAATCCATATACTTTTATTAAAACTAACATATATACTTTTTATTTACGAATTCCATTAAAAATTGTATTTGTCAGTATAGGCAGAAATACTCCTTTAATACCAAAACAAATTGGCGCTGCTGTCGCGCACGGAGCGAATAGGATGAGTATTTCTATAATTTATGGTATAATCAAGAAAATTATTTGATTTGTATTAACTATTGCAATATTGAATTCGGACGTATTTTCAGTACATCGTATTTATATGCATACAAAAAAATAAAATAGTATTTTATTATTTGTGGCAAATTTATGTATGCACAGTATTCCCAGTATTCTGCACAAACGCATGATTTATATACAACGCCATTACTCTTTGCTAACATTTGAATTTAAATTCAATTCTATATTATATATGTATAATATTTATTTCACGTCTCTTATTGCTTTATTGTAGTCATGCATGAATATTGATGATGTTATTAGCTAAATATAATTGTTTTTATTCTATCAAAATTAATCACAGTATACCTGCCGGGATTCTATGAACAGGAATAAAACGGTGATAATTTTTCAATGTCCCTTGTCGACGATTTATCAGTAATAAAATTAATTTATTTGTATAATTAACGAATCAACCATTGTGTGCAAAAAAAAGGACAAACCGAAAGTATTTTGGAAAACAAATCACCAAATACTTTAATGTCCTCAAAATAAGAGAGTTGTATATGGAAGCCGTTTGGATTGGTTCAGTTTATTGTATAAAGATTTTCATGATTGTGACAAACCAATGGAGGGATTTCGTTAAAAATTGGTGAAAATAGTAAACAGATTATGATCTTCCATCTAAAATATTTTGACTGTTCTGTCATTTACGATTATATCGGAAGTATAACTCAACTTTTATATTTTAAATTTAAATTTATATTCCGGATTCCGATAAACATGAAATTTTTGGGTCACTTCATGTGAAAAGATGTATAGTTAAAATTGGTTATTTATGAAAAAAACAAAAAAAAAAAAAAGATTGCGATTGCGGGTATTTAGATAATATTTGTTTTTGGCTAAAGTAAGTTAAAATTTGAAAGATTTTTTAAATGAATTATGATGAAAAATGTAGTAATTAACTATTACACGACATTAAAAGATCTTTTATTATACAGGATGAGAAAAACATCTTTCAATTTTGATTCAACAAAACAATATCTTCAATTTTTTAAATGGCATTATTTTTTCACAGTGTCTAGGTACAGGCTAACTTGTACACAATTCTTGACAGAGTAGGTGAGCTGTGTGCAGGCCGTTGGTGTTTACGCCGGTCGTAGCTAGGTATGGATTGAAATTTTTTTTTGGCGGCGAAGCCGCCACCCTACGAGAAGTCTCGTCGCTTCGTTTTCTTGTTGTCACGACATTATTTATTTGTTCATGCATGTGAAATTTGCTTCTAAGTTTTATAAAATACTACTGTGCTAGTAACGGCGTA